GTGTTCCAACATTGTTCATCGGGTTTTGAACTTCAATGTACAGAAGTTGACGTATTCCTCGTTCCGTTTCCATGACAGTTACTGGTACGTTAACGGTTTCGGTGACGGTACCGGTACCGGTCGCGGTTACGGTCGCGTTACCGTATGTGCACGCACACACCTGTACAGACGTTAAAAACCGTTAAATACAGGTTTGGTACTTACGGATACACATGACCGTTGATTCTGCAACTGAAGTGCGGGTACACTATTTTACACAGTAAACGCGAGCGAATCGGTTTCGGAGTGCAACTGAGGGGGAATCTAAAAGGAGCGTCGTCTCGAGGAGACGTAATTGAAAAGGCCTTTTGTGGAACACGGATGATGTCATGATCCACTTGGATCTTTTGAGATTCCATTCGTGGATACGGCTGTAAGACTCAGGCGTCAAACAAAGATCCACTTTGTGCTCTCCAATCTCCAATCCACCTTATACGTAGTGAAGCTTCGCGCGAAAAGGGCGCATGCACCTCTGCAGCCCCGATTCCTCACTTTTGTTCTTTTCTTGGATCGATCGATCTTTGTGAAGAAGCAGATCAATCCAAGAAAAGAGACCTCCTGACCAGCTAACATACAGTAGTAGACGTTTTGTGCCAAAACAACGGCAAAGGTGACAGAGAGTTGCCATCGTCGCTGTGTTTTGCTGTTTTGGGTTTACCCAGTTTCCCCAAACCAGTCAGGGAGCAGAGGTAATCACGTTTTGGAATTCCCCACAATCCCACCCCAGGGAGTTGAGGTAATTTTAAAAATAAGCAGCAAAGCTGGTAAAACCTGGCCACACTTGTCACGCTCACTGCACCCATACCAATCCAACGAAACTCGCCCCCAAGCAACCTCAAGACAGCAGTGAACATTTGGAGATCTCCCCAAGTACCCTCCAAGACCAACTGAAACCTCGTTTTTTCAGTTGCGGTGGTGGTCCCAAGTTTGTGACTTGCATTCGCGGCGTTTGCGTTTATAACCGGCCAGGCCGTCGCGAAAGCTATCGCGAAATTTTTGCGACGATCATCATGTCAGATTCTGAAGACAAAAAGCCGGCGGCAAAAAGCCACAACAACGCTGTGGATGTAGCTGCAGAGGAAGATTCTACTCAGGAAGAAGACAACTACGCTAGCGCACAACACCAGCTGCAACAACAACAGCATCACGACCAGCAACAGCAAGTTCAACCAGCGCTCCAGCACCAGCAAGTGGCAGGAACAAACAACCCGCCTCACGCAGCACCCACTCGCCAAACTGGATCCATTGCAACTTGGTGCAATAGTGAGGCGTATGTTTCTCAGGATGAAGACAACATGGCAAGTATTGATCAAGATATGATCATGGATATGCTTCGAATCACATACACCATTGGACATGCTGATGGTGATGTACGTCACCAGTTGGCACAAGGGTATGACATCTCCCCACCCGATCCTGGGTTCTTCCTGGCGCGCACCACTAACCACCAGCTGATTATTTTATATGGAATCAAAGTTTGCACACAAGTGGGCTCTGCATGGTGCCAACAAACAGTTGGTTTTGCCGGCGACATCCCTACAAATAGCCAGCTTCCAGCAACTTGGTCTACTAAACATCTCAACACTATGGCAAAGATGGTGCAGGTGTCTGCAGTGGTCAATCTTACCAAGCTACGAGCAAGTGCCAAGGCAAATCCACAACAGCCTACTCTAGTACCCACCTTCCCAACGAACAAAACTCCTCAGAAACTACCTGTGGTGTCTATGGTGAAAATCCCAGCCCCACTCCTCGCCCGAGCTTTGGCAGCTGGAGACCCACAGACCGCTCCTTTGCCGTTTTTATTAGTAATTGCGGAGTTTCTGCATCAACACTCCAAAACCGAAAGCAAACTGCCAAGCACAGGTTTCAATACTCCCAAGACAATGCAAGTGTTGAAGAATTCCCTGTTCGCCTTGGCAAGCTCCATTACAGGGCGAAAAGACAATGTCATCACTGATACTGGGGTAGCTGCGATGGAACTTGCCCTTGACACTCTGTCTCACCAACCACCTGATCATAAGAGTACACTCTGGGTACAACGCAACTTTCAGACAATCCAACCACTGGCAGCAACCCTGAAAGCCCCCCCTCCTACTACTACCCATCATGTGTCATTTGCAGCCAATTCTGCCCCTACAGGACTCCCTGCACAAGCCCCTGGTGTACATAGCACCATTAATCATGCAATTTCTGGATTCTCTGGGCCAGGACTCCCTCCTGCACAAGCCCCTGGTGTACATAGCACCATCAATCATGGAATTTCTGGATTCCCTGGGTCAGGACTCCCTCCTGCACAAGCCCCTGGTGTACATAGCACCATCAATCATGGAATTTCTGGATTCACTGGGCCAGGACTCCCTCCTGCACAAGCCCCTGGTGTACATAACACCATCAATCATGCAATGTCTGGATTCCCTGGGCCAGGACACCCTCCTGCACAAGCCCCTGGTGTACATAGCACCTTCAATCATGCAACTTCTGGATTCCCTGGGCCAGCTTTCGGAGGACCCACTCCCACCAGTCCTGCTGCACCTTCAGGACTCCCCCCTCCACCCCAAGCCCCTGGTGTACATAGCACCAGCCATACTGCAACCTCAGGCTTCCCTGGGCCATTGGTTGGGGCACCCAACAGCATCAATCCTGCACCCTCAGGATTCCCTGGGCCAGCTTTTGGCACACCCAACACCACCACTCCTGCACCTTCAGGATTTCCCGGGTCAGCTCCTGGAGCCCCCAGCTTTGTCAATCCTGCATCTTCAGGACTCGCTGGGCCAACGTTTGGAGCAGCCAGCAATATCAACCCTGCACCCCCAGGATTCCCTGGGCCAGCTTCTGGAGCACCCAGCAACACCAATTCTGCACCAGCATTCGGATTCCTTGGGCCTCCTGTTGGAGCACCTGGCACCAACAATCATGCGCCATTCGGACTCCCTGGACAACCATTTGGCACACCCAACCTAGGACAAGGTTTTCACCCTCACTCTGGATTCCACTTCTCTGGAGCACATCCAGCCCCCTGGACACCTGCACATGGACCACCAAACATGTTTCCAACAGTGGACACTGCTCCAAGAGCTCAAGCCAGTAAAGACAGTGCCTTTTGGCACTTTTCCATGCCTTGCTTCAGTGGATGGATGGGCTTCCCCACAATGTTTCCCAACCCATTGGAGAATGGCATGCCACGATTCCTCCCGATGCTTGCCAAGCTCCCAGCGGGCAGTGCAGAGCTCAACAGCTGCTTTCAAAATGGAATATCCCAACTCTCTGGAACTCTGGAAAATCGCCAGAACTTTCAAAGTTTCAATTGGTCCCCTTCCCTCAAGAAGGAGCTCAACACTATGAGCTTCAATCTTGACGATTTGCAGGCGGATTGGCACAAAGGACTTGGCCCAGGCATCGCTATGAGCAGAGATCGCGACGCTGTCACCCGCAGCAAACGACTCCACTCTGAAATTGACGAATATGGAGGTCTCGGCTTCAATCTGGGAAGATTGGACACCCAAAGGTTACAAACCCCAACCCCATCTGTCCCTAAGGACTATGCCTCCTTTCTGCAATTCCTCGTTCGGTACAGCCTTATTCTTCGCGAATGGATGACACAAAACTGCAACCTCTATCAGATTACCTGGGCTCTCTATTTGGAAATCCTTGCAACCAACCAAAATGCATCATATCCAGAACAATGGTATCAGCGTCATGGACCCTTCATCATCTGGAAGCTCATCATCACAGCAAAGCAATTCTTTGAGCAACGCCGAACACATGAAACACTACCTATGCAGGGGGTTGTGTACATCACTCCAGATCCCACAAGGTTTGCTCAGGATATCATTCGGAATGCATCAACCTTGGTGGCTGTTGAAGAACTCCCCCCAGCTTTTCAAGCAGTGATACGTCAACATGTGCCAGTGCACTTGCCCCCGGCACCTTCCCCAGCTGCTGCGCGACCATCATCTGCTCCAGCCATGGGAAGATCTCCACCAACACCGGCAGCTCCATCTCAAACTTCTAGGGCAAACCGGCGACAGAACCAGCAGCAGCAGCAACCTATTGAGCACCGAAACCCAACTCCCAATGCTCAATTGGTCCAATTCTTTGGCAATCTCCAACAGGATCCCCAAATCAATGCACACTACAAACGTACAGTCAACTTGTGCCAAGCGGTGGGCACAACTTTGTCTGAAGTTCTTACAAGTTTGGGTCTTGACGAGAATGATTGCGGCAACTACTACCTCCGTGGAGTGTGCAGGCGCAACTTTTGCCGTAACTCTCATGGTACTAAACCACTCACCGCGGATGGCCTTCAGGCTTTCTTGAATCGCCTGAATCCTGCCCTCCCCAACTTGCGTGGCCGGGCACCCCCTCAGCGAGCCTGAGATTCTGGCACCAAACGGTACATTGATCACCAACACCCACCTGCGCCACACCCCATTTCCCCAACACATCATCACACACTTCACTCCACATTTCAGTTATCATCACCTACAAAACGGATACGGCAGAACTCTATTGCGCCTAATACAGATTTGAAACCACCGCCAAAGGAAATCCCTCTCACACACCTACGGGTGTCTACGAACACCTCAGCTTTCACTCCAACCACTTGTGCTCCCCCTTCAGTCCCACAAAGAGCTGCCGCCAAGCAATTGCAAGCTCTCCATCGACTGCACAAACAAGCACTTCACCACACAGACAGCACAACAGCACCTTCACTCAAACAACAACAACTCCATCAAGTCCCACCTACCACTCACATCAGCAGAACCCCAATCCCAGATGGAGTCTCCCACCCAGAGGGTCCGCCAGTCATCCATGCAACCTTCACTGGACCCTCCTTCCCCCCGCCTATGCCCCCAGCACCTCATCCCTGGACACAGCCTCTGGCATCCGCCAACTCCCAGCAGCAGCCCTTAGATGATTCTTCTCTAACCCCTCACCAATGTAAGTACCCCCGCGTCAAAAAACGCAGATTGATGGAACCTTCTGGCCCTGCCCTGGACCATCCTGCAGCACCCCTGCTGCACCAGTATGCCACATCGGGATGCCCTGCCCCAGTTGATGACAGCTTCACCATGGAAGCTCTTGAAGCAGCAATCAAGCGTGGAGCTCATCCTTCAGCACAAGCACCTGAAGCGGCCACTGCACTTCGCAAAGAAGTTGAGGAGAAAGTAGCCCAGGGATATGCTCGATTGATCCCTTGGACAGAACTGAAAAAATCACTCCCATCCAACATTCGAATCAGCCCAATAGCTGCAATTCCACACAAGAGTCGTGCCTATCGAATGATTCTGGACTTGAGTTATATGTTTACTCTGGATGGGATCCCGTGGTCTTCAGTCAACACAGCGTCAACTCCATCTGATCCACCACTTCAATCCATGACACAGTTGGGTCAAGTCCTTCCACGTTTGATTCATCGCATGGCTACCAGCTCTGAAGACGAGGGGCCTTGGGTGTTCATGAAGCTGGACATCAAAGACGGTTTTTGGAGAATGGTGGTACCAGAGGATCAAGAGTATAATTTCTGTTACGTACTCCCTCAAACGACCCCCAACGAACCAATCCAAATCGTGGTCCCAAGCTCACTCCAAATGGGCTGGAAGTATAGCCCGCCTTACTTCTGTGCGGCCACTGAGACTGGAAGGGATGTCGCCGAAACATTGGCATCCAAATCAACACTCCCACCTCACCCTTTTGAAACAATGACAATGAACATTGATGAAGAGCTGAACTTATTCCAAATTCAACACCCTTCTCAGTGGACTGAGGATGAGCTACCAGAACGGCTCCAAAACTTGAACCGGCTCTTGGAGGTTTATGTGGATGACTTCGTGGCTGCAATCCAGTGTACCAACCCCCAAGTTCTCCTGCATCATTCCAGAGCATTGCTCCACGCCATTCACTCTATCTTCCCGGCTGCACCTGACCCAGACCGAGACCCGGACGATGAACCGGTTTCCCTAAAAAAACTACTGCAAGGCGAAGGTGTTTGGGCCTTTCGCAAAGAGATTCTAGGTTGGATTTTCGATGGGATTGCTCGCACCATCGAGTTACCACCAGGCAAACTTGAGAAAATCCGACTGGCTGTAAAGGACGTGCTGCACAAACAGCACACCAAAGTCACCACTCTCCAATCACTCACAGGCAAACTTCAACATGCTTGTTTGGCCATCCCCAATGGCCGAGGTCTTCTCGCTCCCTTGTACAAACTACTTCCACCTGCCCACTCCAAAGGGCAAAACCGACACAAGTTTGTCTCAATCCCACAAGATTCGGAAGCATTTCACGCCCTCAGTGATTTGCGAACCATGCTGAAAATTGTGGCCAACCGGCCTACCAAAGTTGCTCAGCTTGTCCCTGGGTGGCCCCATTTTGTGGGCTTCTGTGATGCTTGCAAACATGGTGCAGGTGGTGTGTGGCTCAGTGGAAAAGACAGTCTCCACCCCACCGTTTGGAGGGTCAAATGGCCGCCCGAAGTTGTTGCTCTAGTTTCTGCCAACAAATTATCTGTCAATGATTTGGAAATGGCAGGGCTATTACTGCACTATCTGGTTTTGGAACAACTCGTGCCTTCCTTGGAGCACAAACATTGTGCAGCATGGTGTGACAATACATCCACTGTGTCTTGGGCCCGCCGGTTGTCCTCAAGCAAATCTTTGGTTGGACAACGCCTTGTTCGAGCCCTGTGCATCAGACATGCTGTCACGAATCAAGCTCCCCTCTTGCACCATGGTCCATTGCAGGTGCAAGCAACAAAATGGCTGACTTAGCCAGCCGATCATTCAAAAAGGGCGGGGCTGGGAACTATGAACTTTCTGATGATGAATTTCTCACATTCTTCAATCATAAATTCCCCCTCTCACAGGGAGCCTGCTGGAAGCTGCACCACCCCAACACCAAAGTCTGCTCCATGGTATTTTCCGAAATGTTAACCAAGCGACAGCCAATGGGGTCGTGGCTACGACTTCCCAGCGCCGGAAGAAATTCTGGCAAGACTGGTGTCGACTGCTCAGCTACATTGGCCTCTATGACCCATTCCTTACCTTCCTGCCCCAACCCCAGCAACTCGCAGTCGTGCAAGCATTTGCCGATTGGGTACGAAGTGGAAATACAGGACGCAAAAATTGCGTCGGCGCTCAAAGAGTTCAACAAGCGCTGGCAGCCATTGCCACGTCCTTCCACATGGCTCAGCGACCCTCTCCCACCTACCTCGACCAGGGAAGAGCAATCTACTGGCCAGCTCTACACCAACAAGTAGAATCCTACCGCCGTGCAGATCCTCCACCACAACCCAAACTGGCAGTCCCAATGTCAGTCCCTCATCACATTGTTCTTGCTGGCCTCCACAGCCCCATTCCCAAAGATCGGGCTAAGGGAGACCTAATCTGCATTGCCGCTTACTACCTTCTTCGCAGTGGCGAATACACCTACACTCCTCCCAAGCAACAACGTCGAACCCAGCGTTTTCGGGTCAAAGACATCATTTTATGCCGAGCAGACCAATCTCTTATACCCAACACTGCCCCCCTACACATCCTTCTCACAGCTGAATATGCAACCCTCAGGATCACCAACCAGAAAAATGGACGAAAGGGTCAATGCATCCATCACCAATGCACCCACACGACTACAAGCCCTGTCAAAGCTCTAGCACGACGGGTTGCACACATTATGAAACACACCAACAATATGAACACAGCCATTAGTACCTACTTTGACATGCCAGATCGATCGCCCAAGCAAATCCGACCCCGCGACATTAACAACACCATCAAATCAGCAGTCACCCAACTTAATCTCACACAATACGGGTTTACCCCAGACAATGTCAGCAGCCATTCTCTACGGGCTGGAGGGGCCATGGCAATGAAACTCAATGGTGCAGATGAAATCACCATCATGAAACAAGGCCGATGGACCTCCAGAACTTTCCTCCAGTACATTCACGAACAAATTGGAGCCCTAACCAACGGCTTGGCAACACGCATGCAGCGACATATTCCATTCACAAACATGACCCACACACCAATTCACCCACATCTAACAACACACCATTGAGACTAGTCTTAACTAATAGATTGTCTCTTATTTCACATCTCCAAACTAATAACCAAAACACTCTTTCAACACCCATCCTACATCGGTGACTTGAACGTAGCCGGGCCTTTCATGGCACGAATTGCCCACTACGTTCATCAACCTCATACAACATCACACACATGGACCATCCACTTCATCAGCCCATAACATTTCAAATGGGCTGACTACACAAATGGAGGTTCTATGGATCAAAAGCCTATGCAAATTGATCCACTCCAAGTGAGCTTTAGAGCAATAACACTAGTAATGCTGCTTCAAAGCCCACCTTGGTGTGCCTTCTAGCTCTAGCACCATAGGCACAGTCACAGGCTAGTCCACATGAGCTGATGTTGTAGGTCACTGAAAGTAGCTCTCGAGTAGCCCACAAGATATCGATTCAAGAACTTATCGCGTGAAGATCTCACAGTCTACCTGTATGGACGAAACGTGTGCCCGAGATACAGGTAGACTGGCTTCCGTGGGTCTAAAACACCTGTTGCCAATCGAGCATAGGCACTGCAGAAGGACTCACACATGCTCCTCCCTTCCGACCCACGAACCGTGGTAGCGAAGCTGGTACCAGCTACATGTACCAGTACCAACCGATGAACCGTGGTAGCTACAGGTGCTGTGGCGCTCAACTACTGCCAGCTTGGTACGGTATCCGTAGCCAGAACTTGCTCCAACGATCACCACAAGTACATGTACATACATGTGCCCCAATCAAAAAGAGGAACTACAAGAATGGATCCTTGTACTTGAGTAACAAGAAGCAAAAGCAGGCTTTTGGATTAGCTAGAGCCCAGCTACTTTGTGGCCAACAGATTGCCTTCTTCAAAAACACACTCAAGGGGCCTACAACTAACCTCGGGGAGCTGCCGAGCTTGTGGCTGTTCTGGGGGACTAAAAGCCAGCTTTATCAGTGAAGTACATTCGTACTCCCCCAAGAGCAAAGAGGCATAGTCTTCCCAGCCAAAAAAGTTACATTACAGCTGCCGTGTGTTTTCTGTTTCAGTAAAATTCATTCAGTCGCTATGTGCTGGAATCGTAAGACAGTTCTCCTTGCAGGCTCTATTTGCCTTTCTTGGGTGAGGGTTCAATAGGTGGACTGTTCATAGTGTGAGAATGAGGAGTACCCTTGGCTTCCCTTCCGATTTTCCCTGGATCTCCCACTTGAGAGGCTACCGCAAGTGCATCATCCCTACTCAGCCTCTGATCCATAGCAATAGGCTGAACCATGGCAGCCAACAGCCAAAGTAGAGTCAGTCACATTATCAACTCTTCCATGTTTGGGGCCAGAATCGAATCCTCTTGACGATTTCTGGGCCTTCTTCTCCAGACAAAAACAAGGCAGCTCTAGCCTATTTTTGTTCTTTGGCGAGCAACTGGGCAAGCGTCACTTGGGCCCTTTTCCAATAGACATCACCCACAACTCGCTTGAGGTGCACCCTCACGCTAGCCGTGACAGATTCATAGCCAGGTTCCCTTCGTTTGTAGCGTACAGTGCATTCCTTGATAAGCTGCCTGGCTCTACTATGCAGCCTAGGATCTCTGTCCTCAAGGCGTTTCAGCAGCACCCTGACGAACATGCGGAAGTTTTCGTTTTGAGGGGGACCCATGGGACGAGGCTGATTTTGAGGTGGATACTGTACAGGTGGAGAAACAGATGGCGTTGGGTATTGTTGATTTTGCTGATATTGAGAGGCCGCAGGTCTAGCAGTGGGCTGAGTTGCAGGAGCCACGGCAACGCTAGAGGCCCCTGGATGTACCCTCTTCCATTTCTGTTCTCTAGGGATGGGCTGGACCACGGCAGCGGCAGCCAAAGTAGAGGATGGCACATCATGAGGAGGATGTGCTGGTGTTGAATCCAGAGCCGATGGGGCTGGTTGTTGATTTTGATGTTGCTGCTGTTGAGAGGGAGCACCAGGGTGCCGAGTTGCAGTACATGTAGTATCGGTTGCAGTAGAGGATGGCAAATTCTTCCATTCTTCCTTTTGTTTTGTTGTTTGGGTCAACAATAATAACTGATGAGAGAGCTGTTGTTCCGCTCGTTTCCAATAGGCATCGCCCACAACTGGCTTGAGGTGTACACTCACACATGCCGTGACGGATTCATAGCCAGGATACCCCCGTTTGTGGTGCGCAACACATTCTTCGATAACTTGCTTGGCTCTACTATGCACCCTAGGATCTCTGGTCTTGAGAAATTTCATGAGCACTTGGATAAACAAGCGGAACCTTTCTTCTTGTCGGCGCATTTGGCTGTTTTGTTCCGAGGAGGATGCACTGCAAGTGGCAGCACTATGCTGGACTGTAGCAGCAATAGCTGAATAGTAATTATCATCGTTCGATTCTTCCGCCGTGTTACGGCCTGAATCATCGCCCATGAACCATGCTTCTGGCGCCCCACCAGCAGATCCGCTCATCTTAACTTGGCTTAGAACAGTCCGAATGTGACACCCCCTATCATCGACAACATGACAACATGACCGAGGACAGGCGGGTCTTTGAGCACGTTTGTTCCTTGTGGGTTTTGAGTGAAGCCAGTCAAGCTGTAAAATAGACCCGTACCATCCAAGTTGAAGTCGATCCTTCCGTTCTTGGAGGCATCAGTGTTGTCATTCGTCATTGTGCACGTCAAACACAATGCTACTAGCTAGCAACACAGACAACCAAGTCCATGACTTACATACATACATGTAGTTGGAAGAGGTCGAACATACATGGTGTTGACTTGACGACGACTACTTTTAAAGCTTAATGTCCTTACTCACAGCCGGCATGCCTTCGTCATGGGCAATGCTGTTGCTGCATACGGGCATTTTTTTTTCCAATTTGCTGTTGGGTTCGGCTGCCTTTGGTAGCTACCAAGAAAATAATAATGGGACTGTCCCCTTGACGGTATCACTGCCGAGTGGCAGCAGCAGTGGATTGCTATGGCAAGACTTGAGTGTCATGACACCCAGCAGCCAATGTCTCTTGCGATCTTCCAGTGGATTTGTGGAAAATGGACACATTTGTGGTATTCTGGGGCCTTGTAAGTCTTGAAAACACATTAAATGAGGGTAGACAACACATCAGAGTACGCTTTCTTACCATCCATGATTCTCTCTCTCTGTCTGTCAAATAAATCAGCTGGAGCAGGAAAGACAACCTTTCTGTCCACAATTGCCGGTCGTCCAGAGGCTTCCTTGCACGTCAACGGACAAGTGTTGCACTACCAACTCGACAATGGCCATAGCAACAATAATAACAATGACAACAACTACAACTACAAATGCGCCCCGGTCCAATCTGGTGGTGTGGCGTGGCTCCAGCAGCACGATGCCTTTTTTGAACGGTTGACTGTCAAGGAAACCTTGGACTTGGCCGTGTTTTTAGAATTGCCACACTTGAGTTGGACCCAACGGGATCAAGTGGCTAGAAGTTGTCTGGATTCCTTGGGATTGTCACCCCTCCAAGATAGACCCGTGGGAAGTCCCAAAGCCTCGCGGGTACTGGATGGGGCCACGTTGAGTGGAGGAGAAATGAGACGACTTTCCGTCGCAGTAGAACTAGTGGTAAGTTTATCACTGACTACTTTTTTATACCCATCCACGCCATGCTAACAAAAACATACGCTTTGCTACGTCCTAATAGACCATGCCCCATTTATTCATTGCCGATGAACCAACCTCTGGCATTGACTCTAAAATGTCTGAAAATGTCATGGCCGCCATTGCCTCCCTGGCACGAGAACGACAAATACCCTGTTTTTGTACATTGCATCAACCGCGATCTTCCATTTGGCACATGCTCGATGCCGTCATTCTCATGGCACCCGGTGGGAGAATATGTTATGCGGGGCCTCGTGAGGATGTTTTGGGGTATTTGTCCTCGGTGGGATATGATTGTCCCAGCTTGACAAATCCTGCAGAATTTGTGGTCGATTTGGTCTCGGTGGATCCGGAAAATGTGGAACAAGCGGCGAAAGATTCCAAACGAATCGAGGAACTGGCAGCCACTTTTGCTCGGTACACCAAAGAACAACAATCTACTAATGGTGGGACGACATGTACCATCGTTTCGGATGATTCCTTGCCAGTTTCCAAAGCACAACAACAAACTAGTAGCGTGGTGGAAATAGACGACACCAAACAGCGACATCCCTTTCGTGCCGTACGACGCTTTGGAGCGCTCTTTCGTCGCTCGTGGAGACAAAATATTCGCAGCACATTTTTGAATGCCTTTCGATTGCTCATTTCCACGGGAACAGCTCTCATGCTGTCGCAAATATTTCCCTCCATTGCCAAGGGTGAACCACCCCAACCCAAAAGTGTGGTGGATCGAGTCGCATTGCTCAGCTTTGGGGTCATCAACATGATGATGACAGCCGTCATGAAAACATTGGATGTCTTTGCCAAGGAAAAACCCATTGTGCAACGCGAAAAAAACCGAAACTTGTACTCTTCTTTGGAGTACCTCTTGTCCAAGTCGGTCGCCGAGATTCCATTGGATGTGACCTTTGCCGTCGTTTTCACGGCCACCCTCAAAGCCACCACAGGTTTGGCCATTTCCTGGAGTAACCTAACGGCGACTTTTTCACTCATGACAGTGGCGGGAGCGTCCTTGGGGTTGCTGATTGGGAGCTTCACGTCCAGTCAAGAAGCAGCAGTGTCCACTGGAATTCCGATCGTGATTATCATGATGATTGTTGGAATCATCAATCCAAGTGGCGTGGATCCTACCATCGAAAAGCCTCTCCTGATTCAAAGCATCAAAACCTTTAGTCCCATCGCCACTGCCATTGAAGCCCTGGCTCTGGCCGAGTTCTCCGGCATGGAATTCGAACAGCAGAAATCGTTTTTGGGCTGGAGAAAGATTCGGGATGTATCTCGGGTTGGAGGAGTTGCTTTGGTCAAGAATGGTGATGAGGTTCTGGATGCCTTGGGTCTGAGGGATGCAGATTATCCTGGAGTAATGGTAAGTTCTGTTGGCTTTTGATAATTTGATGATTGCAGGAGTTGTTGTGCGTGTACTTGTGTAATTCTCGGCACTCATACAATAACTGTCAATCTACATCTACCCTATCATAACAGAGGCACATGACAGCACTCTCCCTATTGAACTTTGGTCTTTGTTGGCTATTCCTTGGGTTTTCGGATACGGCATGGTTTGGTCGTTTGAAACAGCTTTATAAGGCGACATTTTCAGGACGCGGCGCCAGGGGTGTGACTACCAGTACAAAAGACGAATGTGCCCCTGATCCGATAGAGACCGTCAACAGGCATACCATGACTGTCACTCAACAGATCAAGCCAAAGAGAGTCGCTGTCAATGCTAGGGTTTGAGAAAGCATAATATTCTACTCGACAAATCGACTGGACAGGATATGATCTTCCAGTACAGTTACGCGATCTATTCATACGGGACTTAGGTTTGTCATAGGGGACTTAGGTTTGTCATAGGGGACTTAGGTTTGTCATAGGGGACTTAGGTTTGTCATAGGGGACTCAGGTTTGTCATAGGGGACTCAGGTTTGTCATAGGGGACTCAGGTTTGTCATAGGGGACTCAGGTTTGTCATAGGGGACTTAGATTAACTCGACTCGACTCGACTCGTGACTCCACTGTCACTCGACTTGACACTTACTTGACTGACTCGACTCGAGAATTGGGCTACTGTAGCCTAATTATTACGGTACCCCCTTGCAGCCTAAAGTCAAGAATTGCACGTACATACAGAACATGCATCGGGACAAGCAACTGCCGAACAATCAACTTCCAGTTTGGTGAGCGATCTCAAACTGCAGAGGCCCGTGGGAAGAGTTCCTGCCATTGCATTTTCACCCATCCGCAACTCTTTGAGGCCCATTAGCATTCCCACTTCTGACGGCAACATCCCTGTGAAAGCATTGCCACCGATATCCAGGTAATTCAGTGTCGTCAAGAGACCTATCTCGGAGGGAATCCTTCCAACGAGAAGGTTCCCTTCCAACTCAAGATTCACAACGTTGCGGAGCCTTCCAACCGAACTTGGAATTGTACCAGTGAGTCTGTTGTTGGCCAAGCTCAAGTAAGACACGCGTCTTAAGAGATCAAATGTATTCTCGGGAATAGGGCCGTGTAGGAGATTGTTGGTCCATCCGACCTCCTCCAAGTTTCTCATCGATCCTAACGTAGAAGGAAGTAAATTGGACAAGGGCACGTCAAGATAGAAGTCAAGAATGGAGAGCTTTTCCAAACCGGGCAAGAGCGCCACCTCCATAGGAAGATACTCGGCATAGGTTTTGCTGACGCCCTCGTAGTATTCTCCCCCATACAGAAAAAGTCGCGTAAATCTGTCACCTTCGCACCCGTTGCGAAACTCTTCAAATTTATTCTGTCGCCCCCAAATGCATTCGGTCGTTCTCTCGTCCAGCTTCAGATACATGTCCTGTTCTCGCGCATACCAGATCTCTCCACCACCCATGGCATAGTAAAAGCATACGAGAGCAAAGATTTGAAGCAGACGCCAATCTCCCCAATCGTCCTCCCGTGCTTCGAAAACCGCATTCTCCACTACCCAATTTATAGCCAGGCGTTGCGGCAGCTTTGGATCATCCGAGTTGCTTTGTAAGGTTTCCAAGGTATAGTCAGGGAGAATAGACATGAGATATCTATCCTTTTCGTCGTAGGAAAACGTTGGGCTCATCGAGGGGCTCATCGAGGGGCTCGTACTGGGGGTTATGGACGGCCTAAACGATGGAGATGTAGTGCTCGGTTGAGGTGACGGACTGTCCGTGTTCGTGTTTGCTGCTGGCATTGTGTCAGCGTTGCTCCCACTGCTGGAGCAGGCACCATTCATGCACACACCGCTAACAATAGCAACCAAAGATAAGAAAACAACGATCAAACCAATCCAGAATCTCCTTCTGGTAGTCCTTGAGTTGGGAGTTCGCTCAATCTTCAGAACATCTGCAACGATGATGTCACCCGCTGGGTTCTCTTGGTCCTCGTCGCCCCCCTCTGTCGAGTCGTCCACCAAGGATGCCTCTACTAGAATCGCGGAACCGTTTATTGCTGGTCGTTCTCGGACTGGATTGTCACCCTCGTCGTCGCTGAAAGAGATATCCTCGTTGCTTTCAAGGTCTTCAAAGTCAGCGGCAGGGTTGTCGTCGAGGCTAACTGCAGCCGTGCTGCCAAATTTTTGGGCAAGAAAGGCTTGTGATGACCTTCTTCGATGTTTCTTTTCAGAGCTCTCGATGGCGTTAACGGGAGATATGTTTGCTGTATTGCCCAGTGGCCCTCTTCTGTCGAGCCCTTTTCGTTTTCGTTCTGTCCGCGAAGTCGAAAGGCGGTTCCGCCTTGTTTCAGTATCAGAGCTGCGGCGACGTGTTGAGGTGCTGCTGCCAAACTTCTCAGTCGGGAATTCACGTCTCGACGACCTCCTTCTACCATCTCCTGAGGCCCTTGGATTTTCCTGTGGTTGTCTTTCATTGTCAAAGCCATCCCAAGACATGAACTCTGATGAGGAAAGTCTTGCATGGGCTCCATCGTCAACATATTCTGTTGGAGTAAGGACAATACACGTACCCTCTTGGGAAGCTTCTGTCGGAGGAATTGCAATGTCAAGATCCTCTTGGGAAGCTTCTGTTGGAGGAATGACAATGTCGACATCTTCTTGGGAACTTGCATGCATTTCTTTATCGTGTTGGCTTTTCCTTCTCATTGCATGTCGTTTCAGCTGCCTCTCTTCTTCATCCAACGACTTAGCCAATGCCTTCACATTTTGAAGCTCAATGGAGCGCCTCCTGTTCTTTGGCATGGCTTGATGACTGGAAGAGCTCGTATCCATTCTGGAAGAGAGCTCCTTTTCGTCTTTTCTCAGCGATACAAGGGTCCCGTCAATGCATTTTGATGAGATTTCAATTGGATCAGTTGGATCCAAGGTAGGATTGGCCGTGTTTTCAACAACTCTCCGTTCATGTTGTTGAATGGAGACCTGATGGTTGGAGTCACAGAGACTATCAGGTTCTTTCCATGCTGCAGCTGCCTGTTGTATGTCATCCCGATGGACAGCCAAAATGTCTCCTTCAATTTCTTGGTAGCTTTGCCTGCGAGCATGTGTACTAACAGCGTCGGTACCGCTCGTACAAACGCAATCTTCTATAGATCCACGTATTTTGAATCCCCTCCTATTCTTCAGCCCCCTCTTTGGCGATTTCCTTTTGATTGATCTTCTCTTGGACTGAATTCCAATTTTGTCTTCCTGCTCATGGTCATCTGCTCCTGTAGCCACCAGCAGTGTTGGTTCCGAAGCCGCCTGCACGGCTTCTGCTGCTACCGGCCTGGCGGAGGTACTAGTCCTCCGTTTCCGTCTTTGAGGAACAAGGCAGAGGGCAGTAGCTGACTGACTGCTGATTCCCTGAGTATTGGTAACCCCATGATCTTCATTGTGATGTGTGATCATAGTGCCTCTCAGATTGGGGGGTATCGGCAGATCCTCCACTGTTGTTGCCATAGTCGTCAGGATGCCGACAGCCGAAGCTGGAGATGTGACGCAACAGTAAACAGGTAAAATATCATCCATCCACCCATACCACATGCATGCTGGGCCACATCTTTTACAAACGCAAAGTTACTACTCTACCAGCGAGCGCCGACAAGCGGCGCTCGCCTAGAGCAGCACAGCACGACTAGTTGAGTAGAGTAGTAGGATAGGGTGGTGGAGAGACTCGGCCATTTACTGAGCCGACCGTCTCCGCAACCCAGGGGTGCCGCTAGACTGTGCAGACTGTTTCCTGACGCGAGCGGACTAAAAGCCAGCTTTATCAGTGAAGTACATTCGTACTCCCCCCCCACTGGGGTTAGCGCAGAAAGGAGGGCATAGTCTTCGGCTCCGGAGCTCCCAAAGTAAATGACACAGTGAACATTAGCATCTCTCCACACGCTCGCGTCAGTGTTTTTCGTTTCAGCTAAATCTACATCTACTTCGTCGCTATGTTACTCAACTAGTCGTGGCTGTGCTGCCTTAATGCTGGAATGATGCCGTAAGACAGTTCTCCTTGCAGGCTCTATTTGCCTTTCTTGGGTGAGGGTTCAATAGGTGGACTGTTCATAGTGTGAGAATGAGGAGTACCCCGCACGCCATAGAGCTTCGCAACGTTACAAACGATCCCCGATTTTCTCCCTGGATCACTACTCATTGAGAGGCTACCCCACGCTGACCGGGCGATGAGAGTGACACTCACCTCGCAACCCTCCAGTAGGCGCTTCTGCATTCGCACATAGTCAAAATAGGACTTCGAGAACTACCAATGCAGAGTTGCCGAGACTGGTACCGGGGCAGCAACAGCCAAGGAATCGTCAGGTTCCCACAAATTATCACAAAATACGAATCTACTCCCACACTTCGCTCACACACAACAAGTACATCTCTACACTCCACAGGTCATCACCTGCGTTCCTGAAATGGATACCCCACATACATGTCGATTGCCACTGCCTTTTGCAAGATCCACTCTAAGGCAATAGCACCCCACGAAGACCGCTCACAGATAGCAACCTTGAATGAACACAACACGCAAGACGGTCCAACTCTCTCTTCAGCCATTGAACAGTCGATGCAAGAAGGTTGTCTCCTTCTCGCTCACAATTCTTCCTTCAGCCGAGCTGAACTAGAACTAGAATAGATTAACCCACCTCTCCCTCCCTGGGTTGGCCGATGTCGCACAATCACGCGGGACTCACATCCCGCGGACTGCCTCATTCGTGCCTTGGTTCCCGCTCGGGATTCTAGCATTCACG